CAGGCACGGGTCGCTGCAATCGTATGTAGTCGAATATTATCGTTACCGTTATCCTTTTTGTTGTTGTTATTGTTAGCCATTCCTTCGGGGCTAATGATGTGAACTGTTTGTTTAACGCCGCCTGCAATCACTGAAGTCAAACATATATACATATGCACCTAGCATGCAAGCGTACCTCTGTCTCTCTGCCTCTCTGTGGCTCCGCCTCTATTTCTCATTTCTCTCACAGACAAAGTCAACATTATTAAAATGCATCAACAAATATATTTGTTTTTATTGTGGTTGTTGTTATGTCTGTTATGCGTTGATATGCGTTGACCATAACACCTTTTGCTACTCACATTTACCCATAAAAAAATACCAACTCGTGTCCATTTTATATTTTTCTATATTTTTCACAGAAATTCTCATCAAAATATCAAGTTACGTACAATATAGTTGTCATACGTTGAAAATGCCTTCAGTTTATACTTATACAAGAGTAAAATAACATTTCTAATTTTGTTGTCGGTTTCTTCTTTATATGGTTCCTTTTTATTCTTGTTTTTCTTTTTTCGTTTTTCTCTTCTTTTCGTTTTGACTGCTGCTGCTGCTGTAGTTGTTGTCATTATTATTGTATAATAAACTAATACTTAATGTAAGAATCCGTTTTTTTCTATGGGCTTTTTGCTAATCAATTTTCCATGACTTTATATTTTTATGCATTTCGCCTTAATTATACTCAATATTATTTTCTAAATGTTTCTTACAATTTCCCATATAAAATGAATATAAAGAATGACAAAAGCCGCAACAAACAAGCAATAATAATCATAATGATCATAATAATGGTATATTTTTCATAGAATATACAATATGACGGCAAAAATATGCTAATTGAATTAAATTCTATAAAAATTGCATTTAAATTATTTTAACATTTAGTTATTCACGCCGATGTTAGTTACACATTAAATAAATTAAAGCGATTACGTTCGTTACCCAATCCGTTTGAAGTAACCTTTTTGAAATCAACTCACATAGCATAAGCACTGATGGCAAAAAGAGGGAGAGAGACTTGCGTTTAGATTAAGCGTCAAAATACGCAAACATCAAATGCACATCAATAATAATAATAATGATAATAAACACTGACAATTAGATTTTTGCTATATGCTATTTAGCTAAGGATTCGACTTTTAACGGGTTTTTTTTTTTTTTTTTTTTGTTCTTTTTTCTTTTGGATTTTTTTTATGTTTTTATTTTTATTTTTTGCACAAGCGTTCTTGAAGTCATCTTTTTATCTATATTTTTCTTTAATTTTTTGCCTTGTAGCCTTGTTGCTGATGCCATGTTATTTATTTACATATATATTAATTTTCAAATGTATTTTTAGTTTACCTGTGCTGAAACTTGTGAGTTTTGATATCAATTACGCTTCTTAAGTGTACAATTTAATTTAATTTAATTCATGTTTGTGTGTGTGTATGCAGAGGCTTACTTACATTTCACAAAAAAGCTAAATTAAGATTTTTATAAAAATCTATATAAATCACCATTTGCTGCTGACCCAAAAACACTCATTAGCTGACCTTTTCGATATTCTATCCAGCCTATCCTGTATCTATTAACTTAAACGTTTTTGATACAAAATGGTTTGTCTTATACATATACAGATGCTTCGCATGCCCCGTTCAATGAATCAGTTTTCAATTCTTATTTTCTAATACATACACAACTTTTAAATATGTCCTTTTGTCCATACACTGTTTTTGTTTTACATACATTTTTTATTGTATTTTCTTGTTTGTTTGGTTTTTGCCTTGTTTCAATAGTTAATCTTTTGATTTTGCATTGGAGTTTAACATTAAACTATTTCATTTTACTAAACTATACACAGAATGTTTAAGTTGATGCGCTTATATTGCTATGTAAAACGTTAATATTTTAACTATATATCATATATATGTGTATATATAATATGCATTTTAAATAAATATATATGCTGAGTTTCTCGCCTAAATCATAGTCTAAAAATTTGCCAAGCATTTGCAAACAAAATTTTAAGAATAAGAAATATTAATGTGTGTTATTTGTTTAATATTTACCGAATTGTTTTCCAATATTATTGCTAAACTGTAAATTTATAAAAAAAATGTTTAGAGAATTATCGTCTGCTCTTGTTTTTCATTTTAATTTTAATTTTAAATTTTCTGCTCTTTTTGTGTATATTAGAACTGTTTAACTGTTAAATTTAGACTATAATATGTGTATACATAATTAATATGTGTGTCTGTGCTGATTTAAATATTTTGTTGTTAGTACTCTCTAGACTCACATTCAGCGTTTCTTAAAATTCGTACATTATTAACATTACGGATAGCTTACGTATGGTTACTAGTAGACAATATATATACATACATATGTACATATATATGTATATATATATGGGTCAGTGGGACTGTTTTTGCAGTCAAAAATAAGTTTTACAAGCGCGAAGACTCAACCTGAACATCAAAAGGATCAATCTCAACCGGTTCAAATTTCCGCTTGTTAGTATATTTCGCAATGAGTTTAGCAATACGCTGGGGCTTTTTTTTTTGTGAATAAATGTTTACATATGGATTTGTATTTTGAATTATTTTTCCCTTTTACTTAACATTTTTAAATTTTGTTTACTTTTGTTGCAATTTTTGCATAAACGCGGAACACCTCGTTGACCAGTCTTTTATTGTGTTTTAATGCTTACAGAATTATATAATTATAATATACATATATATATATTATAATTATGTTATGCTATCGTTTTAAAATACATGTTTCGTTTACGATTTGAATGTTCAATTGTAAATACATACATAGTTTCTTAAGTGTTATTCATATTTAGGCCCCCATATATTATAATCTAATTGGTTTTCTTTTTTTTTTTTTGGATTTTATTTGAATCGTTAAGGATTTTCTATACAAAATATTTAATTTGGGCTTGGTTTTTAATTTTTTCTCAAAAGTTACACTAAACTGATTGAATTTATTTTTGACACATCGTACACATTTTTTTATTTAAATATTTATAGTTGCGTTATCAACATCATAACCTTGATTAGTGCATTTTCCTTGGGTTTGTTCGCATGGAAGCCGAAAAAGGATACTGTTAGCCAGTATAATTGTACCTTTTTATTGATAATATAATCTTTAGGGGAACTTTCAGTTTGTAACTTCTTATTCATACGCGACACTGTATATATATGTATATATTTATATATATTGTTTGATAGCATTGAGATGATACATAGCACAAGCCACACACAAACCTTTCAAATGTAATCAATCTTTTCTTCACAATCGTTGAGAATTATGTTCCAAATCAAGAAACATCTATAAGGGCTATACATTTGAGCATGCATGTAAACTTGATCGTTTGTGTATATTTGTGTGCAAATAGATATATGGATGTGTGTGTGTGTATGTGTATGTGTGTTGCGTTGCTTGCCATAGCTACTTGTTGTTATCTGATCACAGAATACCGCATCACACAAATCATGGTGTTCGAGCATGTTGTATACCTTTAGCTTGAGAAGGTTCATCTTAGTTTTGCATCTAATGGGGGAAATCAAATACGTATACTCAAATAAAAACCATTAATCAAAATATATAAAATATAAAAAGCGTTGTTGTTTTGTAATATTTATTTTTGTTAAAAATATTTAAAAATAATCAAATAATAAACATAATGAAATGGTTCATTTAAAATAAAGGCAGCACATAACTAAGAAAATATTAGCACACTTTATGGAAAAAAAAAACTTTCAAACACGTTTTTGCAAAAATGTATTCGATGCAATTGAAAGAGATTTTGTTTTTTTTTTTTTTTTTGCGAATACTTAAACCTTGTTGATTGTGACCTAATGAAATTTTGAAAAACATCTACATTTTTTCATATAAAAAATCTAGTTTAAAATTATCTTTATCAATATTTTAAATTAATGAGGCACATTATGAAGAATTTGTCAAAGTTGGTCCAAAATATAATGTTTATATAGAATCGAAAAAAAATAAGAATGAAAATATCGTTTAGATTTCTTCAAATAAAAAACTCATCGTAATACTTTTCATCACAAAAATATAAATGTGCGTTATAAATACAATTACATTAACAGGACTTATTTTGAAAATATCAATTTGTAGCGCCAGAAATGGTATTTACTAAGCGTTTCGATTTGCTCGATTCGCTCGGCATATATACTACATATAATCGACCTTTACAACAATTATTTTACAAATTTAAAATATATTTAAATTAAAGTAAGAAAATAAAAGCATTTTATTTATTGTTTAAAACATATTTTGCACTTGTGTTTGTTGTATTTTGTTGTTGTACCTAAGCGATGCATTCCTTATTTAAATTTAAATCTTTGTATATGTATTGCATTTTAACATTTTGTCGTGATTTGATTTTTTTTTCTTTTTATATTATTATTAATTTTGTTTTGTTTTGTTTTGGCAGTGTTTACAATATATGTTGTCGCTAAAAACAAAACAAAATATGTATAAAAATATATATATCATAAAGGATTTTTGAAAAATATTTTTATTTATTTTTTTGTAATATATATTTTCAATGTGGTTAATAAGTTCATCCTTTTGTTCGTTTTTTTTTTTCTTTTTTTTTCTCTCTATTTTACTAGGAAAAAAAATTTCGCTTTGGTAAATATTTGTTGTCAACAATTTAAATGCAAATGGAAGTAAAATTTGTTTATACTTAAACGTTAAAATGAAATTAAACAAATAACAAAAAACTGTTCAAGCGAAACGATAATGAAAGGGGGTAAATTATAAATAAATCAATAAGAGCAACGAAAATGAATTTTTATGTGACTTTAACTTCTCAAATTACCGTAAATTGTTGTTGCCGTTGTTCTTGTTTTTTGTTTGTTTGCTTTTTATTTCATTGCTTGTGCTTGTGTGATGTGTGATTTTGATTAATTAGCGCTTCAACTCTATCATTCATCGCTTTCTACTTCTGATGGCACACAGTTGCTGTTATGCTCACTTTCTACTTAGATCTCTCTTTACATATGGCGCTTCATGTGGAGGGCCAGGTGATCGGAGCGCGAAAAGCAACGATCACAATTGCGACATTTAAAGGGCTTGGCTCCAGTGTGTTTCCGATAATGTCGAGTTAGCTCATCGCTTCTAGCGAAGCGCCATTCGCAGCCATCCCAGGAGCATTTGTACGGCTTCTCACCTGCAATGACAGAAGTTTGTTAAGAAGATTTAATGAAATTGCATAAATATCGCCAGTCCCTACTTATTAAATAAGTTATTCTCTGAAAATTGTATCACGAGTTGAATGCAGTATAAGTTCATGCAATTCGCTCTGTTGCAGTCAGCGAAAAGAAAAATTAAATGTATAGCAAATTCAAGGGAAAACGAAATAACGGGTGGGAAAAAGGTAGCGTGGATAGGATGCCATATTTTTTTCACTTTACTGCAGCGAAATGAAAAAAGTTTTTTTCAGCGTTCAGCTGAGTGAGAGCCTCTGAATGAGGTGCATAGTACCAGAAATGTTCAAAATTATAATTTTAAGTTTTTAAATCGTAGTCACCCTCAAGCGTACTCGTATTATTTGTGAAAGCCTTGAAAGTACCATTTTTTACTTTTTTTCAAGTCAGTATGCTCTCAGTAAAGTATGCAGTGGGTGCAACACAACAATGAGTAAATGCAAACGCGTTCGTAAATGGCAAAATTGAAGACAATTAAAAATAAAATTTAAAAATTTTTTTTTAAATAATGAAAATTCGGCCATCGAAATTTACGTTAAGATCGAAGTCACTGAAACGGTTTGCCAAATCGCGAATCCTTTTGCCAACAGTTTTCATGCGTGCCAAAAGCCTCAAAGGATGCGGCAAAAACAGTAGCCAATGCGCCGAAAGCCAGTTACAGACCCAGTCCCAGTAACAGAGCTCAAAAGCGTCAGCCAGTCAGCTAGCCAGCCAGCCTGCCTGCCTTCCAGCCCTCCAGCCAGGCAGGCAGGCAGAAAGGAAAAGGAAATGCAGAAGTTGTAATTTCACACAAAAGTATAAAACCTAAAAATGCACAAAGAGTGGAACACAGAACACAGTACACAGTTGTGCCAGAAAAAATGGCAAAATTATTTGAGTTTAAAAGACAAACAGCAGCCAAGGCAGGAAATTGCCGGCGTTGCCTTCGCCGTTGCCGCTGTGGAGAAAAGCGGTGGAAAATGGAGCCAGATAACCGGCAAAGTAGACGACAGCCAAGAAAAATACATAAAGCTGAGTGGAAAACTTTGTAACGCACACCACAGCAGCTTATATATACATGCACACACACACAAATATACATATATAAATATATATAGTATATATGTATATAGTATACACAGCTTAAAACTTAATGCATGCGGAAATGTGTGATATTTCCGTGCTCAATTTCACATTATGCACTTGCGGCCAACTTGCCTGCCTGACGAAACAAACGACTCGCCAACGAGCCAACAGCCACCGAGCCACTGAACCACCGAGCAAGAAACAGCGCTCTCTTAATTTCCATTTGTTTACTCTCTGGCCATTGCTGAAGCCCTGTCCGGCCAGCGATGCGTCGCGGCGTTGCAACATGGGACATTTCACTCCCCGTTTGTGGGCGTGCTGCCACTTGCACTTTGGCATGTTGTCAGAACTGTGAGCGAGACATCGAAGCAAGGGCTATAAATAAATAGGGTGCCCGAAAAACACTTACACCCACAAGGATTGTGCTCATGTGGGTGGCTGTGTGTATGGGTTCCTGGTAAAATGCTTTGCCATTGACTTTTGGCATTTTTTCGCCTCTTTGCCTCTTTCTGGCTCCAGCCTGCGTAAATCACAGTCAAGTGCACAAAGCACTGGGCGTACAGATACAGCTGCGACCCGAGAGTCTAACATTAAAGTGCATTCGAACGACATCCAGGACCAAAAATGTTCGTGCTTCACAGAAACCCGGGATTAAAGCTCTGCGAATTGCTCCTGCTTGTTGGTGCTGTTCAAATGCTCAATCAATATTTAATAGTCAGTTAAGTTTGGTTAAATTGTGTACTCACAACCAATCTTTTAAAGTCCTTAAAGCAGCTTTACACTCATTTACTGGACGTGTTAAGGCCGAATTATGGTTTTTTGTTTCCTAAAGAGTTTCTCATTCTTATTTCAATCGCTCTATTGTTAATTTATTATAGCGAGCACAGTTAAAACTTAACCTCAGCTATTTGTTTCTATACGTAAAGTTACTCCTTTCTTCCCATATTGTTAGCCGCAGTTGCAGTGCCGCCTCTATAAAGTATTTGAGGGAAGGGTGCAGTCAGCAGCAGCAGCAGCAGCAGCAGCAGCAGCAAAAGCAGCAAAGGCAGCGGCCGCTTAACGTATAGCCCCGAGCCAGTTAATATTTTATAAATTTTGCTGGCGTTGGGTTTTAATGTCAGCAGCCAATAGGAAAGTAAGAATGCCTTGGTGAGCGACATGCAATGCGCGGCGAGAAAAGAGGTTTCGGCATTCCTTTCATTGCACTCTGCAGGCTGCAGGCTGCACAGAGCACAGTGCAGAGTGCAGGCTGCACGCAATTCTTTAGCTTTTCTTTTATGCGCTATGCGCCTTCTCGGCTTTTGCACTCAACACAATTTTTATGGTCTGCTTGCGTCTATCCGCTTGATTGCACTAGTAATCTTTTCTTAACGGCAGGGCCCTACTCCCACCAGCTATTACCAAGCTCGAGCCAACCACAACCCTGTCTGTTGTTTTTACAGCCAGAGCGTTTAACTAATTGAAATCTTTTGCGCACTGCGCACATTTATTGCCATCATTTATGCGTGGTATTTAATTGATTATCAATTGTAAAGTATTCGCACCATTTTAGTTGTTTTCTAATTAATTCCTTTTACGCTCAGACCGGACATAGGACACAACAATAAGGATAAACTGGCTGGCAGCGCAATCAAGACTTCCAAATTTAATTAATGTATGCCCGGCTGACTTCTGGCCTTACCGGAACACATGCCCCCAAGAAAAAACCCCGATTAGACATCTAAATAATAGCCGATCATCAATAACGTTGCGCTGTTTCTCCAAATTAAAGCAGAACTTCTCCTTCCCGAATTTGAGCAAAGCGTAATTCATGAAAATGATTCTTTAATTTCGTTTTATACGTGTCCTCTAAGGTGACATTAAAATAATTACTTTTTTTTGTAGCTCTCTTCAAACCAAAGGTAAAAAAAATTTACATTTTGTGAAAACCTCGGGCAATCTAATGCTTCAATCTTTTATCGTCTGGAGTCATCCTGGCTTTGATTTATTTTGTATGCTCTGTCTGTGTGGCGCATATATAACTAATTACACAGCTTAATCAGGTCCTCTTATACAATAAGGTTAGTTTGGAGCAAGCATGACTGCTGCACGCATCTAAGAGCTGGGAGATGGAGCGCAAAACTTTCGCTTATAATTTGCCCGAAATTATGGAAACGAAAAACGAAAATAACATCAGCAAGGCCAACAATAACTACAACTTATATTAAAAGAGCAAACATTCCGGAGGGGGCTCAATTAAGTGCGCCGCTTCCTCTTAGACGATGCCCCGTCTCTCAGAAAGGCTGTTGTCTTTATAAAGTTCAAACTTTTTACTTTTAAAGATAAACGGAAAACTAAGAGCCTATAAGCATTTTCACACTCTGCAAACTGGTCGACTGTAAAAGTCTTTTAATAACCATTTATTGCTTTGCTTAGTCGAGCATGGAGTTCAATATAACAGAGAATAGAGATAACTTTATACTTGACTCACTAATACACTTATACTTGACTAACTATTCGATTGTATAACGCATTGGGGTCAATTCAATTAAATTGGCAATATCAGTTGGTACTAACTGTACATGACATATGCAGAGTTAACGCCAATATTTGTTTTTGCTCAATTTACAAAAATTTGGTTGTTATATTTTATGAGTTAAGCGCACACTGCCAAAACTCTTATAAAACGCATTATCATTCCCACACACACGCTGATGGGAATACGCAAGTGTAGATACACACAAATCAATGGATGAGTTTAATATGGTTTCCATCCCTTGGCTCTGAAATCGCTGATGCTGATGGTGGCAGCAATAAAATAACATTTCATCGCTGGGTTTAATCTGCGTGGAGATGCACGAGAATGTATGCGTGTAACCAATAATTCATTTTTGAATTATGCGAATTTTATTGAAATTTCAAGCCTCGTCTACTGTCATTCAAGGATGTTTCTGGCTGCCCGCCCTCTGCACTTGACTTTGTACATATATGTATATACATTTCTGCGGCAACGTTCGCTCTGTTGGCTATGTGGAAAGATTGGGACAATGGCAGCAAAACAATACAACATGTCACTTGTGTCCTGCCCTGTGTCCACTGGGCTCCACTGTTCAGGTCACCGGCGCGATGCTCTCTGGGGCTGTTATGTTGTTTTTGCAGCACTCTGATTTATTAATGGGGAGCAGCAACCCGAAACTGAGTTTACACATTTATGTTTCAGTTGTTGTTCTTTTTAGTCAGAAATGTGTTTGGTATGAAACCTGCTTTCAACTTAATCATAGTATATTACTTCACTGATTATTGCATTCAAATATAAAGTATATTCACGGCAGAAATGCTAAATTAAATTGACCTCACCTGTATGGGTTCTTTGGTGGGCCTTCAGATGTGAGCTTTTTGTGTAGACCTTTTTGCAGCCCAGAAATTGGCACTTGTGTATCCGACGTTTGGCGTCCGGACTGTGATCGATGTGATGCTGGCGCGGGTGGTGATTTTTGGTAGAAGCTGTGAAATTAACTTGGTTATGGCGTGTGGGGTTAAGGGAGACGAATCAATACGCACCAGTTGTTGATTTTTCAGACAGCGATGTGACCACGGCAACAATTTGTGGCGTTTGCTGTTGCTGCTGCTGTTGCTGTTGGTGTGAAGCTGCAGCCGATTGCTGTTGCATGGATGCTGCAGTGCCAAGATTGGAGCTGCTGTTGTTATTGTTGTCGTTAGTGCCGTTGGCTGCGGCGCTAAGCACGGCAGCAACATTAGCATTGCCATTGTTTTGCATTTGTATGACACGTGCTAGACTGATGCCGGCGGCTCCAGGTGTTCCATTGGCTGTGGTCAGCCGCACGATTGTACTGCGCGGAATGTTGTTGTGGTTGTTCGACGTCTGATCAACGTTGCTGCTGCTCTTGCTACTGCTGTTGTTATTACTGTTGATGCTGCTTGCCGAACTGCTATTACTAGTTTTGTTTAGTACCTGCGGCGATATGCTTAAGTGTTGCACTGCCAACTGTTGCTGCTGCTGCTGCAGCTGCAACGTTGTGGTTTGCGGCAATGAGGAATTCTTGGCACCGGGCGATTGGCTGCTAAAGTGCAGAATGGCGGACGCGGGTGTCGAATTTGCTGCTGCTGCTGATGCTGCTGCAGCTGAAGTCTGTTGTCGTTGCTGCTGCTGCTTGAGGATCGCGGCCAACTCATTGGCATCGATTTGCTGCGGGCGCTGCTGTGGCGACTGTGCATAATTATGACTGCGTAGGTTCGACTCGGGAGATGAGGGCGGCGTTAGAGGGGGAAGCAGAAAGTCGTGCACGGGACCTTGACCCAAATGATAATGCCGCTGCGCTTTAGCCTGCACCACTCGAACCTTAATAGCCGGCGCACTACTGTTACTAGAACTCAGGGTAATAGTGTTGCAGTTTGAATTGCTGCTGCTTATGCTCACGGCGGTGCTGCTGACGGTGCAGTTGCTATTGCTGGTGGGCGTCATGTTGCCGGCGCTGCAGATACTAGGATTAGGCGATATGGCTGAGGGTGGCGCCGCAAACAGCACGTCCAGTTTCTCATTGCAAGATAATACATGTGCCGCCTCCTCGTCGTCCTCGTCAATGCGCTCCTGCTTAACCAGCACCGCACAGCTGAGGGCCTGTGACCCATTGCTGTCCCACGATATGCCTGAACAGTTGGAAGACACGGATGAGGTAGTCGATATCGTGTCCAGGCTCTCCTTTATTTTAAGCTCCTCCAACAAGCGTGCCGGTGTTGAGAATATGTCCCAAGCCGAATCGAGATCTGTATGTATCTTTTTGTAGTTCTGATGCTTGGGCTCGTCGCGCAAATAGCCCTCCAGTTCATAACATGTCTGCAAATACAACGACAACACGAAATATTGTTAGCATATCAAAGATAGATATCAAATAGGGTTTCTGACTATTCCATGTATATGTACACCATTTGTAAGGTCTCAGGAATCCAAAATATGTTATTTTAAACGAACTCTTTTAGTTTACTGCAATTTGCTGCGTATAACACTATTAAAGAATTTTCAATGATGCTCAAGAATTTTCAAGAGCATTAAATTGTTAATTTAGTGACCTGCGGCGCTGTTGTTTTTTGGCTGCCATCAAGGCAAATCAAACCATTAATTGTGAGTTATGTTTTATGTTCTGACGCAATTACATGTTAAAATTTTGCTCAGCAGATTTATAAACACTGCATACTTTTAGGTTGACGACCAGCAGGAATAAAGTACACTTAAATGCTCCGAATAACGACGTGTTGCCTAATGGTGTTACTGCTGTGAGCACTAACAACGGACGTAAATAAGAGAAGTTCGTGTGTGCTCTATAGTCGCCGTTGCCTTGCAATAAAGATTTTAATAGAGCTACAGTCATAACAATTGAGTTGGTGTTCGCGTTTTCGCATTTGTTTCAATAAGCCAACATGCCACGCACAGGTCTCAAAAATGACAGTGGAAAATTACGTTTTCTTATGCTTCTGCTGAAGCAATTTGTGGCTGAAAAGGTGTAGCAACAGGTACTTAAAGGTGCTACAAATTGCACACATGTCCAGTATTATGGGTTGTTAGTCTTAGCCAAACCTGCAACCCATTTCAGCTTAACAAATCTTATTAAGTGCAATACAAAAGCGGAAAATCAATGACCTGGAATAAATAGCGTAGCCACATGATCTGTTTCGAGTTGTGCATTCCACATTTGCTTAGGTTTGCTATTTTGCTTTTCATTCCCATTGCCATTCTTATTCTCCAAACATGGTCGGTAAATCACTTTAAGTGTTATTTCAAGAAAATAATTGCAACACATAAATTTCTTAACCCTTTCAAGTCGCCAAACAAGTTGCGTGTGCGATTTACGAACGGAGGCAGCAACAGCAATAACAACAAGAGAAAACTATAAATGGTTTATGAATCAGCACTGCGGCGTTGGCGCGATGAAGAGAGGAGAGAGAGGCAGAGAGAGGCAGAGAGAGGCGGGGATAGAGTCCATGATTAATGTGCGGCTGCTGCACTTAGTTTCCATTTCCTGGCCAGCAACACTTCAGTCAGACAATGCAGCACTCTCTGTGCAAAAATCTAAATAAAATGTAACATGCATGCCCGCTGTTCGGAATTTGATATATTGTTTAAGCACTCTCGACAAAACATACACAAAGCACAGCACGCAAGACGTACTTCTAAAACAAATGCAAATACCAGCTGAGCTAAGGCTGATCTGAGTCTGAGTCGGAATCGAAGTCTGAGTCTGAATCGAAGACTAAGCATTCCATCGCCATCGCCATTGCCAGCGCCATTGCCAGCGCCAGCGCCATCCTCCAGGATGCTATCAGAAATGGCATTTTGAGTTATGTGCTCTGTCGCCAACGGCGTTGCCAACAAATCACCTGCCCAAAATGGAGAGCAGTGCCAGGAAGATTAGAAAGCGAGTTTTAAATTGCGAGCCAAGCAGTATCAGAATCAGCGAATCGCCAAATATCCGGCTACATTTGAGTATATATGGATAGCAGAAATGACCCACCTTGGCTCAATGATTGATGTCCCGTGGGTGAATAGTTCGGGTGTTTGCCAATAGATAACTAAGGGCTGCCTACAGAGGTACAGATACTCTCTCAATATACTTTAAACATAATTAGTTTATATACATATGTACTCCCTGAAGTTTGTTCGAAACATTCATGTATACTCGGTGTAGAAAGCTTGTGTCAATCTATAATCCCGCTGATGTGTGGCTTCAAAACTTTTCGGCTAAGCAAAAAACTTTTTGCTCATTTGTATTTAATAGAAATTTATTTGCAGCGCTCATGGGTTGATTTTTTTTCGCTCTATCTGTGTGAGTGGGAAATACTTTTAGACACTTTTTGCCACCAATTTATGTGGCAAGTGCACAACAAGGGCGCAACTGAACGGAGGATATGTCAGAGCCAAATGGCTTAATCTATGGCACAAGTTGGTCGCATAAGAAAAAATCTTAATTTCCGTTGCGTCCATTTCAGTTCTGGTTTTTGTGTCACCATATTTTCTCTGTGTGCGTTTTGTTTTTCGCGCTTAAAATGAGGTTTTCACTTCCGCCTGCTTGGCTTTCAGCTCAAGATGCTTACTGTTCCGCACCTTATGGTCGACAGCGAGTAAAATGTTCTTTTGCTTTACTTTTAGCAGAGACACCAAGTTTTTCCTTCACAAATACCTAAATAAGAAAATAGAAATTGTTACCGAAAAAAGTAAATAAATAAATAACGTGGCATTGAGGCTGACATTAATCGAAAATCGATTTATTAATTTAGATTTGTAAGTATGAAATATCGGCAAGTGCCTTAAAGAGCTGAACGATTCCAGACATACAATAGAAATAAACAGGCAAAAACAATGTTTGTACGAATTGAAAGCCCTCCAATTGCCATTCAGCGCGGCTTTTCCTTCGACTCTTTGTCGCTTGAAATGAAATTAAATTGAATTTGGTCACAGCAAATACAGATTGCGAGGGAATAGGGAGGCGAACATGTGCGCCCAAATGTTTTCAATGCTAATGTTAAATAAAAGCCTACGATTAAATTTAATTATCAGCATGTTTATTAAAATCTACCAAATGTGATATGAGCGAAGACTGGGTCTATTGCACAATTGGGAAAGATTTTAAGTATCTGCCGGCACACACACACACGCTGTAGATAATGTTTACCTAGGCTGTCACACGCCCCCCGGGATTCCACGCCCAAACATAGTGAGTCAGATATAGAGACAGACTGAACATATTTAATTATGTGTGTAATTGAAAAAGACGCAGCGGCAGTTAAGAGGCACGTCGAAGACTCCAACGACGGCGACGCTGATGGCAAGGGCGACGGCGATGGCGACGTCGACGAGTACGCCAAAAAATCTTGTTAAGACTATTATGCGGCACATGTCTTGGGCGCCCTGCTGTCTTTGCTCTGAGCTCTGGGATTGTGTATTTGTGTAATATTCTGTGCGTGTTTGTGTATTAGAAAGATATTAGCAGGCGCCAGCTAGAGGCAGAGCCTGCGGTTTTTATTTGCTACCCCGAGAAGCAGCTGCTAACTTACTTGGAAAGTATGCTATCCACAATCACACCACATACCAAATTTTCATTATGTATGTATGTGTATCTGCATTATGTCATTTAATGAGCCATAATTCCAGAGAGCTTCGCCCCATAAGCCCCCTGGGATGTGTTCAGCATGTCTTCTTCTTCTTTTTTCCTTTTTGTTTTCCCTGCGCCACTTTCGGGGCTGCCATTTTGAAAGTTTTAATGAACGAAACGTAATGAAATTATACCCACAATTAATGTCATCGTGACCAAGCACTTCAAGCTTAACAATTTAAGAAGCTTTTTAGCAGAGCAATGAGTACTGAGCAGTGGGCGAGGCACATCAACACAGACAGCAAACATTTCCGACTGTCTGTCTATTTCGGCTACGATATTAAAAACGTATGGAGAAAGCAATTATTTAGAATTAGTATAAATATTACATTCGTCAAAGCTATCTATTTGTGCAACACGCCTCTTTATTCTTACTAAAAGCAGGAAACTTTGATAAACTTTGTGCATTTTTGGATTACTGCAACAATTGTTTCCATCGACGTCTCACTGTGCGACTCCTGCTTGTTATCTGTCTGGCTGTAAGTAACTGCTCAATGCGAGTGCAGCAGCAGCAGGAGTAACAAAGACAATATCAGCAAGTCAGTTGGTTTGGCAATAACAATAAGCCAAAGACAAACGACAAGCCACTAACAGCTAGAGTAGCATAGCAGGAGATACAACACGGATAATTGAATTATTGGCATTATCAGTACTTTGCGCACAAGCGCATACACACATTTATGCACCACCCCCTGCAGCCCCTGAAAACCACATTACAAAGTGTAATGCGTTGATTTACTTCTTGGTTTTCTCTGGATCGCTCTGGACATATCTAACGCCCCCTGCTGAAGTCGCGATGCTATTGCTATTGTTGTTGTTTTTGCTTTTGTGTTTTCTGTTGCAACTGTTGTTTGTTTTTGGGGGCGCAAAGTGCACTTAAAGTGCCACAACATCAACAACAGTCGCAGCAGCAGTAGATGTAGCAGCAACAGCAGCAGCAGCAGTAACAACTGAAAACCAACTTAAGTGTCTGACACAAAAGGCGCTGCATAATTTCAGGCATTATGCTAATTTAAAAAGTTGCCGACTGCTCAAGCAGTAACAGCGGCAGCAACCTTTCACATAAGTAGTTTGAAACAAGGAAACAGCTGCGAGCAAGTAGGATGGAAAATGAGGGACGACGTTGATCACTTTCGCCCAAGAACGGAATTCGCTCTTAGGCAATCGAGAAGCACTTCAATACGAAAGTGTCGCAGTGACAGTGCCAAAAAGTATGCTTCACACAACGGCAAAGGCAGAAGCAGAAGCAGCAGGGTTGCTTGGATACTCCTGGAAGAATGCTGAGTGGGGAGGAGCTGCGGAGCTTGACGCAACTAATGCGTCGTACGCGCCGTTGAATTTAAATGAGGAATTAATGCGTACATTATTTCTGGTCGCCTTTCGGCTGCCAGTGTCACCCCTCATAACAGCAACCCCAATAGCGTTGAGCTCCTTCGACCGGCCTGTGCTTTTACTTTTGTTAGATATACAAACTGTGTTTTGCCACTTCCCACTCTCTAGTTGCCACTTTCCATATGCATTCCGCTTTCGGCTCGGCTCTGTTACGTTCTGTTCGATTCCACGGCGGACTCTGCAATCGTGGTGTTCACGAACTCTGGAATTCACAGGCACAACACCCTAGCCATTAGCTTTGAACTTGATGGCATTTGTGTGCCTTACGCAAATTGCGACGTTCTTGTTGCTGCCTGTT